TCTTTCTTCCACCAAATGAAGTTGTCAGCAAGGTTGATTTGGGGGCACCCCAAACCCTTGGTGCTCCAGCTAAGCATTAAAATATGATGGGTCTGAGACGGTCCCAGGAGCTTCCTCCCTCCCTCCCTCCCTCTCTCCCTCTCTCTCTCCCTCTCTCTCTCTCTCTCCCTCCCCCCCCGTCTCTGTCTCCATCTCTCCCTCTCTCTCTCTCTACCTCTCTCTGTCTCTGTCTCCCTCTCCATCTATCTGTCTCTCTGTGCCTCTCTCTCGCTCTCTCTTTCTCTCTCTGTGTCTCTCTCCATCTCTCTGTCTCTCTCTCCATCTCTCTGTCTCTCTCTCTCTACCTCTGTCTCTTTGTGTCTCTCTGTCTCTCTCTGTCTCTCTCTGGTCTCCTGGTTTCTGCTGTGATTCTGCTCAGCTCCATGTGGACTCTTGGGGTGGGGGGAGAAGACCTAGGGAAGCAGCAGCTCTGCTCTTTGCCTGGCTCAGCTGCTCAGCCTGGAGCCCTGACAGGGTAGGGTACCTTGGGTGTGTCTCATGGGCTAGAGAAGATTCTTGCCCCCAGAATGTCCATCACCTTGGTTCTTAACTTTTAATCTCTTTATTCTTGTTTCAATTCTTTTTAGCACTTTTTAACATTTATTTCATTGTAAGCCACCCAGAGTTTCTGTATTAGTGAGATGGGTGACATAAAAAGTTATTAAAATAAAATAAGCTCTCCACTTCTGGGTGTGTTTTTTGACATGCTAATGTGGAGGTTTTTTTCCCCCTCTGGATTTTTAACCAAAATACCACATTACGTTTTCTTGTTCCTCTAATGGCTCCACTTGCAAAATTCTTGATTGCAAATTATTATAACTGAACCGTTTGTGGCCAACCTCTTTGGTTTCTTCAGGTAAGTGTCGAAATAGTTTCTAGCTAATGCTGGTTCTAACAATGACTCTGTCAAGCAAAGCTTAGGCCAAGTGATTAGGATGGACCAGCTCTGGGTGAAGCTAATTCATGGCTCATTTGCAAAATCCTTTAATAATTTCCTAATAAATTAATAGGTCAGATCCTCAGTGGATTGGCTGCAGGTTCCCAAAGTCTTCAAGGGCAAAGGCTGCAGATCAATAGTAGAGCAGTAGTAGAGACAAGTAGAGACTCTGTACCCCAGAGTTAGCTTTGATCCCCCACTCCAGATGGGGGGCCTACCCAGCCTCTCCTGGAAACCTGCAGACTGGCACCCAGGGAGCTTCTGAAAGACCAGCGAGGCCGATGCTGCTCAGGGAAACATTTCATTGGAGAAGAGCATCTGATGGGAGAAGTAGGAAGGGTCAACTCCCCGCCATGGCCCCCCAAGGCAGAAACGGGGAAGTGTTGCTTTCTTCACCTTCACTAGATGCGGTAGAAGGTGTCCGTTGTTCCAGCACTACAATGAAACAGGAGGGAGGGAAATGTCAAAATTCATGGTGGCATGATTGGTGTCCCCCCCCCCCCGCTGAGCATCCCATCCCCCACCCTATTCCCTCCTTCCACCCAGTCATGTGACAATGAAAGGGGGGGCAAAGGAAATGGATGCTCTGGTTCTCAGGGGCGGTCAGGGCCAGGTAAGCACCCAGCCATGCATTGCAGGCCACTTCTGATGAGGGGAAGGACACTGAGCCAGAGCAGGCTGGGCTAAGTCTCCAGGGACTTTGGGGGCCTCCCTTGAAGCAGCTCCCTCCAGGTGTCCCAGAAGGAGGCCTCTTTGGAGGGGAGCAGCAGAGCTGCAGGCCTTGCTCTCACTCAGGGAAGGCACCCGGGTGGCCTCTTTGCCCCATATAAATATGGGGGCTCTGCTGGGCTACTGCTCTCTGATTTGAGTAGAGCAATTAATGCCAACTGTCCAAGTGTTGCCAGCTGTGTGCAACCCAGACTGTGGTGCCAGCCAAACCACACTTCTCAGTGAGAAGGACCTGGGGAAGCTCCTCAAAAGCTTTGCTGCATTTCTTTGTGGGAGAAGTGGCAGAAACAGTCCCCTAGACTCACAATGCCAGCCTCTCTTCACCTTCACTAGGTGCTGTAGGTGTCCTTGGCAATGCTACAATGAAACAGGAGGGAGGGAAATGTCAAAATTCATGGTGGCATGATTGGTGTCCCCCCCCCAGGATTAGCATCCCACCCCCCACCCCATTCCCTTTTCCCACCTCACGTGAGAATGAAAACGGGGGGGGGGGCCAAAGGAAATGGATGCTGCTGGTTCTCTGGGGTGGTCAGGACCAGATAGGTCCCCAGCCACGCATTGCAACCCAGACTGTGGTGCCACTCAAACCACACTTGTCAGTGAGAAGGACCTGGGGAAGCTCCTCAAAAGCTTTGCTGTGTTTCTTTGTGGGGGAAATAGAGAATGTGCTCCCTGGATGTCAGTCTGCAAGTTTCCAAGAGAGGCTGGGTAGGACCCCCATCTGGAGTGGGGGCTCAAAGCTCTCTGGGGTAGAGAGTCTCTACTTGTCTCTACTACTGCTCTACTATTGTTCTGCACTTTACACAGCCTTTGCCCTTGAAGACTTTGGGAACCTGCAGCCAATCCACTGAGGATCCGACCTATTATTTTATTAGGAGGTCATTAAAGGTTTTTTTTGTAAAGGAGACATGAATTAGCTTCACCCAGAGCTGGTCCATCTTAATCACTTTGTCAAGGCTGCTAACACTGGATCTTCCCGCTCTGACAACAGATGATGCTTTTTCTTACTTTTAGAAATCAGGGGGTGGGGGGTGGGATGTAAGCTCAGCTAGCCATAATAATAACGCTGCTGTGGGAACCCAAGGACAAGCTGATAAAGTTTTGGCGAGCTGGCGAGCTAAGGAGAAAGCCCCCGTTTTAAGCTAATTGAGGAATGTGTTTTATGACACTTGTTGCTACCAATGACAGATCAGGGGACACATTTTATTTTTCATCTGATCATCATTTATCTTGAGGCTCTTCCTCCTGTTTCCTCTTGTAGCCCATTCTGTCACCAAGGAGATGCACCAGCAAATGGGGAATCTGAGGCAAAACTGGAAGAGATGCTCACAAGAGAAGATAAAAGCAAAGGAAAAGGGGGGGTTGGCTGGATCAGTGCTCCAAGGAAGGGAAAGGAAGGAGTGGATCTGCTGCCAGGAGGACCTGGTTGGAGGTGAACAAGGAAGAGGCAAAAAGCAGAGCTGCTCCTTCCCTGGGTCTTCTTCCCCAAGACTCCAGATGGAGCTGGGCAGAATCACCTGCAGGAACCAGGAGACAAGAGAGGGTGGGAGGGAGAAAATAGAGAATGTGGAACTACCTATGACAGATCAGGGGAATAATTTGGAAAAGGATGTCTTACTGGATATGTTATTTATTAAATTTATACACTGCCCATCTCACTGTCAAGTGACTCTGGGTGCTATTCAAAACAACCGGGCTGAAGTTTTAAAAACTAAAAAGAAAATACCAAGGATAAATCAAGAGAATGACCTGGAAAATGTATTTGAATCTATAAAAAGCCTTATTGTCAAAGCCAAACCCAGAGTGCTAAGGAGATGGGGCAGGTGCGGGGAGGGGGGGGTTGACTAAATCCTCAGAGATCCAGAACCAGGCATGTTTAGCGGAAAGAATAGAAGGCCCAGGGAGGGAGGGAGGGAGGGAGATGGCTGGGTTCCTCCCCTTCCTGCTCTGCTCCCTCTCCCCAGCCTGCCCCAGGAGAACCTGGCCAGAGGGCAGAGGCAAGATGGGGGGGGGGGAGCAAGCAGTCTGGTGTTCTTGGTGGCTCCTGGAACAAGGCCTGAGGAGAAGTGGCCACTCAGGGATCATTGGAGCCTGCTGGGCAAGAAAGAAACAGCGGAGAGATCTTTCTACTTTTGGGGGTTGAGGGTCAGAAATATGAAGGAGCCGATTCCTGGGACGTTTGGAGCAAGCGAGAGAGGAGGGTCAAACGAAAGGGGAAAAGCCTTTAAAGCGAGGCTGCTGCGGATTCCGACGTTAAGAGGAGGGGAGGCTGAGACCCTCAACCGGCACACCTGATGGGGGGGGGAATATCTCCGCTTTCTCACCTCCCGCTTCCAGGCCAACTTTCTTCAGGGGGGGCCCTTTGCACTCTGTTCTTCGCTCTCTCTGGGGTTTTTCGGAGAAATGGCCAGCCCCCCCCCCCCGCCTCCTCTCCCAGGTGGACTGCAGAAACTGCGGAGGGTGGGGGGGATTTGCCTCCCTTCGGGAATGGCGAGGAGTAGCGCGGCCAAAGGAACCGGGCATGGGGAGCCAGGCTTAGAGGGGAGCGGATTCTCTGAGCGCAGCAGCCCTTCGCTCCGGAGAGCGGCGGTTTTCGCCAGAAACGGAGAAATATTTCCCGGGCCGGAATGGAACCGCTGAACCCGGCTGCCTTCATGTGCCCACTTCTTCTCGGGCGCCACACCGCGTCTAACCGCAGGCAACAAGGAGGCAGAGTCTCTACCTGTTGGACAGCCGGGTGTTTTCCAGGGCTATTTGGCTGCAGGGGACATTTAAAGGAGCTTCCGGGCTGCCAATTCGCACACCAACGCGTAGGCCGCCTCGGGCACAAGAAGGCGAGCCAGGAGGGAAAGGGAAGAGGAAGAGGAGGAAGGCGAGGTGCCGGCCAGCAAAAGTGTGGGGAACGGAGAGCCTCGCAGACGGAGCAAGCAAACTTACACAAAGGGGAGCGCTCTCTCGCTCTCTCTCTCTCTCTCTCACACACACACGCACAAATGCGTTCTCTCCCTTCTCTCTCTTTCTCTCCAAAGGCACCAGGACGAAGTACGGGGAGGGGTGTGTGTGCTGCCATGCAGTGAAGCCTGATCGAGAACTGCTTTTTTTCTCCTCTCCTTACATCAAAGTACATCAAAGCATGCTCCCCCCTATCCTGTGCCCCAGGCTCCCCACCCCTTGGCGTGGGGATTGGCTGCCCGGATGAGAGTTTAAATGTCCCACGCAGCCAAATAGCCCTAGAAAAGTGTCCCTCCGTGAAACGCCCGGGAGGAAGGGCCGGGATTGGAGCGCTGTCGGACCAATGGCGGGAGAGGAGCGCTGGTGGAGAGCAAGCCGAGTAAGAGTGCCCGTGTTGGGTCAGCGGCGGTGGGCTTCCCGAGAAGAAGTGCCCCCCGCTCCCCGCTCCCCGCTCGGAGAAGGCCAGCGATTTCGCAGAAGCGTCCGCCCCTCGGGCGGGGATCCTGCCCCTCCCAGTCGAGGGCGGTGGAGGGAGGCGGTGCGAGCGGGGCTTTATAAAGGGCGTCCCGCCTGGGGCTGGCACGTCTAGATTCCTGGAGGCCACCATGGCGATTGGCCTGGCAGCTCTGGGGCTCCTCGCTTTCCTGCTCGGCTGCTCGGGAACCTTTGCCGAACCTCAAAACTCGGAGTGAGCCGCCCAGGTCAGATGCGGGGTGGGAGGCGGAGGGTCTCAGCCTCCCGTGTGGAAAGCCCCCACACACACACCAGCCTCTGCTCGGGTGGGCGGCAGGAGCAGCTGGTGGGAGCCGGCGGGCTGCGCAGAGGGTGCCGCTTCCTCGGGGTTGATCGCACCCGGTGCCGTCGCGCTGAGCGCCAGAAGCCCTGGGTCCCCGACGGAGAGACGCCCAGCGTTTCCTCCTCCCTGCTCAGCCGCTTCTTTGGCAACCTGCCGTCGGAGCTGGTGCTCTCGCTCGCTGCGCAGATGGTAGAGCGATCCGCCCGCGGGGTGTCGTTCCGGACGTGGTCTGGCAGGCGCCTCGACCGACGGATTTTGGGATGGGCCGCCTTTGCCAGTCCCACCCGGCGTTGGCAGCCTTGGGGGTCGGGCACGTGGGAGCAGCGGGTGTTTTCAGATCCCCCGGAGAAAATGGAGCCAGAGTCTCTACCTGTTGGACAGCTGGGCTTCGCTAGCGTCGTGAGCCGCTTTCCTCCCCCCTCCCGCTCTCCTTTAGTGCTCCCTGACCGGCACCTGGAAGAATGACCTCAACTCCACCACGGAGACCAACAGCGTCAGTAACATTGGGGTGTCCAACGGCCTCTACCAAACGGCAGTCTCGGCCTCCGACAATCCCATCCGGCCATCCCTGCTGCAGGTCATCCAGCACCAGGGTCCCCGGCCGGTCGTTGGCCTCATCATCATCTGGAACCTCTCTGGTAGAGCCACTCACTATTTGGTGTGGAAGCAAATAGAACGGGAGGGGGGAATCTAGTGGATCGCCTCTTCCTTTGATCTGCTTCTTTCACTGAATGTCCTCCCCGCCCCCATTAGCTGGGGTTGGCAAAATTTTGGAGCTCATAAAACGTTCCCAACCTAAAGTAGCATCGGTGAGTGGGGGTCTTTATGGGAAATATATCCCCCCACCAATTGGTACACCTTTGACCTGCCAGTCAATCTCTGGCCACTATCTGATAGACAAGAAGGGAATGGAGCAGCTGAAGACAACCTGGCTACTGCACAGGGAGGTGGAACCCGCGGCAGAAGATTGGGGGGCGCCCAGGTAAGGAAACGCAGGGGCTGAACTGCTGTGCCCCCTAACTGGAAGGGCCCTGGGCACATCTTTTTTTCTCTCTCTTCCCCCCCCCCCAAAGTGGCTCTTGAAAGGACGCCCCAAACGGGTTTGCCTCTCTCGGGATGTTTCTCCACCCAGGGCTGAGCAGCTCCTGCGGGAGACGCTGCAGACTCCGTTTCCGCCACTTCCCCCACAAAGAAACACAGCAAAGCTTTTGAGGAGCTTCCCCAGGTCATTCTCACTGAAAGGTGTGGTTTTGGTGGCAACACAGCTGGCAACACTCAGAGTTGGCACTAATTGCTCTACTCAAATCGGAGAGCAGTAGCCCAGGACAGCCCCCATATTTGTATGGGGCAAAGAGGCCACCCGGGTGCCTTCCCTGAGCACAAGGCCTGCAGCTCTTCTGCTCCCCTCCAAAGAGGCCACCTTCTCGGACACCTGGACGGAGCTGCTTCAAGGGAGGACCCCAAAGACCGAGGAGAATTCGCCCAGCCTGCTCTGGGTCAGTGTCCTTTCCCTCATCAGAGGTGGCCTCCAATGCATGGCTGGCGACCTACCCGGCCCTCGCCATCCCCCCAGAACCAGAGCATCCATTTCCTTTGTCCTCTCTTTTCTTTGTCACGTGAAATGATGCTGGGTGATGATGTTCAGCCTGGGGAAGGGACACCAATCACGCCACCGTGAATTTTGACATTTCTGTCCCTCCTGCTTCATTGTAGGGTTGGCTCCAGCAACTTCTACCGCAGCAAGTGAGAGGTTGAAGAGAGCAAGGCTTCCCTGGTTTCTGCCTTGGGGGGGAAATGGGGTGGTGACCCTTCCAACCTCACCCATCAGATGCTCTTCTCCAATAAAATATTTCCCTGAGCAGCCTCGGCCTCCCTGGTCTTTCAGAAGCTCCCTGGGTGCCAGTCTGCAGGTTTCCAGGAGAGGCTGGGTGGGACCCTCAGATCCTCAGTGGACTGGCTGCAGGTTCCCAAAGTCTTCAAGGACAAAGGCTGTGTAAAGAGACTCTACCCCAGAGCTAGCTTTGAGCCCCCACCCCCCACCCCCCCACCCCGCCTCCAGATGGGGGTCCTACCGGGCCTCTCCTGGAAACCTGCAGACTGGCACCCAGGGAGCTTCTGAAAGACCAGGGAGGCCCAGGCTGCTCAGGCAAACATTTTATTGGAGAAGAGCGTCTGATGGGTGAGGTTGGAAGGCTCACCACCACCCCCCCATTTCCCCCCCAAGGCAGAAACCAGGGAAGCCTTGCTCTCTTCACCCTCTCACTTGCTGCGGTAGAAGGTGTCTGTGCCAACCCTACAATGAAACAGGAGGGAAGGAAATGTCAAAATTCAGGGTGGCATGATTGGTGTCCCTTCTCCAGGCTGAATATCATCACCCGCATCATTCCATGTGAGAAAGAAAAGGGGGGACAAAGGAAATGGATGCTGTGGTTCTCGGAGGATGGCGAGGGCCGGGTAGGTGCCCAACCACGCAATGCAGGCCACGTCTGACGAGGGGAAGGCCTCCCTTGAAGCAGCTCCATCCAGGTGGCTGGAAAAGTGGCCTCTTTGGAGGGGAGCAGAAGAGCTGCAAGCCTTGCGCTCCAGGAAGGCACCCAGGTGGCCTCTTTGCCCCAACCCAAACCTTTGCAACCCATAACTGCAGTCTTGGATTCCATATTTATATTTTATTCTAGCTTTCTTTCTATTCCAAACAGGTTTCCATAATAAAGTCTCTAGTTCCGCAAATAGGTCTCCCTTCATCTCTTGCCGTAGTGTGTAAACCAAGGTTAGTATGTAAACCATCCTTTTTGAGGTTGCATATAGTTTAATTGCAGTCATTTTCTTAGTAGATTGTAAGTAAAATGATGTATATTCCTCTTTAGTCATGTTTTGTTCTTCTGTTGATTTTTTATCTGTCAAGAAGTCAGTTGGAGTCTGCAGATCAGCTTGCCCTTCTGAGGTAACATCCTTAATTTCCATGCTAAAAATCATTTGTTCATTAGCATCAGGGATTTTTTCCAATATAAATTGATAATCCAAATGTAAATTTAGTTCCTCCATCTCAGTAGGTTGTAAGCGAAGTTGAGAACAGGTTTCTTGGGTATATACCCCCTCTACTGTTTCTTGGCTTACAAAGACCTCCAGTCATGTCACCGGCAATTTAGAATGTTTTTGGCAAAAAATGCCCCCCAGTGAACAATGGGTTCACTTAAGGACTATGGCATTCACTTAATGACCATTTGCTTAATGGCCACCCAGAAAATGCTCATAAAATTGGTCACATGATGATTGGTGTTAATTATAATGATCCTGACATGACGGTAATGGGCAGGCTCCATTGTGGTCATAAATCGAGGACTTCCTGTAACTAAATTTCCACCTTAGATCCAGGCCTGTTATCCGATGGAAGGGATCCTGATCATTGTTTCTTCCAAGGGAAAGTGGGAAGCGATGGCAGCCTGTGCCGCAAGGCTTAAAGCCTGGGGCAGCAGACCTGGCAGCTCTTTCCCAACTAGGCAGAAGAAGGCAGAGCTGCCTTCCAAGCAGCCGAGCAGGGCTGTTTGCCTCCGTCTGGAGGCCATCGTAGCTCTTTCTGTTCCAGGGAGTCGGGTGCATTCCTGGATCTTCAGAACTGATCACAGGCAGGACCCGGCTGCCACAACCTGCTTTCCGCTCTCCCCACGATCAGTCTTAAGGACGCATGCAGGAGAGACAGGCTTCTCGTGGGGCTCTGGGGGGCACCCTGTGTAATTAACTCATATATCCCCATCACGTTTTATTGCCCAGCCCAGAGATTCTGAAGTTTTTGTTGTTGTTAGTTGTAAGTCGTGTCCGACCCATCGTGACCCCATGGATAACGTTCCTCCAGGCCTTCCTGTCCTCTACCATCTTCTGGAGTCCATTGAAGCTCAGGCCTCCTGCTTCAGTGACTCCATCCAGCCACCTCATTCTCTGTCATCCCCTTCTTCTATTGCCCTCAATCTTTCCCAGCATTAGGCCCTTCTCCAGGGAGTCCTTCCTTCTCATTAGGTGGCCAAAGAACTTGAGTTTCAACTTCAGGATCTGGCCTTTTAAAGAACAGTCAGGGTTGATCTCCTCTGGGACTGACCGGTTTGATCGCCTTGCAGTCCAGGGGACTCGCAGGAGTCTTCTCCAGCACCATAGTTCAAAGGCCTCCATTCTTTGGCGCTCAGCCTTTCTTATGTTCCAACTTTCATAGCCATACATTGCAACTGGGAAAACCATGGCCTTGACTATATGCACTTTTGTTGGCAGGGTGATGTCTCTGCTTTTTAGTATGCTGTCAAGATTTGCCATAGCTTTCCTCCCCAGGAGCAAGCGTCTTTTAATTTCTTGGCTAAAGTCCCCATCTGCGATGATCTTGGAGCCCGGGAAGATAAAATCTGTCACTATCTCCATTTCTTCCCCATCTATTTGCCAGGAATTGAGAGGGCCGGATGCCATGATCTCGGTTTTCTGGAGTCTTAGCTTAGGGGCACCCAACAATGGCCTTAATGAACACACCGCCTCTTCCTCTATCAAATACTGTACCTTGTCCAAAATAAAGCCAAATATGAGAACTCGGGGGTCCTTTGCCTTCCCACTTAGAGGGGGGTCTTCAGCCAGTTGCCCAGGGGGTCCTCTCCCCCCCAGAGGAGGCTTTGGGGACCAGAGGGTCCCTGCTTGCTTTGCCCGGAGACCTGCCGTCCTTCCTTTTGGATTCTTCCCCCGCCAGAAGGCCTATTCTGTGTTTCAGAGAAACGAGCCACTGTGCCCTGCACTGTGGCAGGCTGCCAATGCCAGGGATTCCTCTTCGTTCCTTCACGCCCCGAGGAGGTGGGCGAGTTCTGGCTTCGGAGAAGAACCGGCTTTGACGTGGCAGCCTGGCGAGCCAAATGCCGGTGCACACACACGCATGAAGAACACACGCCCATCGGAGCACGGAGATGCTACATCCGAGGTGAGCACCCCATTGCCCGCCACCTGAAGCTGCTGGCTCTCTGGCCACTTTGGGCCCCTTCCTCCTCTTAGTGAGCACCTGGAGTAGAGAGGATGTGCCCTGGGGCTGCTGAGCACGTCCGGAATGCAATCCCGGTTGCTGCAGCCTTTTTGGACTGGGTTGAAGCCACCTTTATGGGCTCATTGCTTTGGTAACCGCCCTTCCCTCCGTCTGCTAAGACCACCCTCTCTATCCGACACACCCCAGCCGGCTGCTCCTCTATTTCCAGCCCCATCTTGTCTTATTCCAGGGTTTGCTCATCCTGACCCCCATCTCTCACCAAGGCCGTGTAATCTCCGGCAAGTCCAGGGGCAAATCTGAGCCTCTTCCAGTCACCAGCCCTGCAGAGCCCCCTCCTCAATTGGCGGGCGTAAATGACCTCTGTATCCTGTGGCCCTGGCAGCCTGTCAATTCCAAAGTGGCCCCATCTCCCTGAGCTGCACAGCTAAAGAGCCCCCTCCCACCCTCCTCCCCCGACCATCCTAGGCAGAGACTCTCCGCTCTGATCTGGGCACCGTCCCCCAGGAGCATTTCACCTGGGGCAGCTACTGCAAAGGGGCTCCCCTCAACAAGCCTCCTGGAACCACCTGAATAGCAGCAGCAGCAGCAGCAACCCATGCCTGACAACACTGGGGGGGGCTCCTTTCTCCCTTCATCCACCCCCTCTTCCCAGGCTGAGAGATTGGGGGGAGGGGTTGCTTCCGATGGTGAGAGTGGGAAGTTATCCCTCTGTGCAAAGCTGGACCAAGAGGCGAGGACAGCCCTCCTGCAGGCAAAGTGGCAGCCGGCTGAGGTGGGGGGGGGAAGGGGACAATGGGTGCCAGTCCAGTGTCCTTCTGAAGGGCTTTGGCATCTCTTCTTGCCTTCTGGCCAGGGGGGCTCTGGGCCTGTTTTCCCAGAGAGGAAAAGGAAAGGAGGGGAGAAATGCATTCAGACGAGAAGCTGAACAACCAGTGCATCTTTATTGTGAGGCTACATTAAGAGAAGCTTGCAAGACTCGAAGTAACCCTGACCCTGACCCATCTCTGAAGACTCCTAGGCCCCTAACTTGTGGGGTGCCTCAGGGGTCGGTCCTCTCCCCCCTTTTGTTCAATATTTATGTAAAGCCGCTGGGGGAGATCATTCGTGGCTTTGGGGTGGATTTCCATCAGTACGCTGATGATACGCAGCTGTACATTTCCACCCCAGGCCACCCCAACGATGCCCTTGACGTGATGACCCGTTGCCT